CCCAATAAACCTACTGATATATATTCAGTTATGCAGTCAAAATTTAGATATTAAATTTTTTTAAAATTTCGTGTTAATTATGAATCTTAGCAAAAGAAATTTATGATTGACAAAAACACATAATATTAATCAAGCATTCGATACTTTTATTAAACAATTGAAATGATTTCCTGAACTAACTCACATTTCACTCATCAAAAATCAAATTATCATTTTAATTGTTTTGTCTTTCAACATGAAAGTAATTTTTGTTCGTTATAATTATTGCATCCATGATTATTTTCATGAAGAATACTTGTGAAAACTGCGAACATCCATGATTACTTTGATTTTTAATTATAGAAGATGTTTTACAAATCAATACCAAGGTAACTACCGTTATCTTTTGCATATAAAGACAAGTTAAGCATGAATGTCTGCAGTTTTTACAGATATCCTTTCACGAATAACAAAAAAATATTCAAAGAAGATCGACCAAATTCTTTAATTCCTATTCAAATGTAGTTTTACTTCTTCTAATTATATTTAAAATGTACACAAGATGAATGATTGACATGAAAATATTATAATACTAATTTAACTTTGTCACAATAGAGAACTAAAATTTTAATAAAACTCAAACAAAAAATTAAAATAATAAAATATTTAAAAAGAACTTAGAAAATAGAGTCTTTTTGTACATTATTTCATATCAGATGCTGAAAGATCGAATTCAAACTAGATGTTTAATTTGACAAAAATAACTTAAAATACGTAAGCAATTTCTAAGAAACATGTCAAAACGAACTTTATTTAAATACAACGCACATCATTTAAAAATTTCAAAAAAATAGAAATCATACAAATATGTTATATGATTATTTGAAGAAATTATATAAATGAGATAAAAAATTCAAATGATTAGAAATTTTTCAAGATAATCAGAAAATCATATAATGATTGAAGGTCATCAAACGGTTAGTAAGAAAGGAGTCGACTCCATGATAGTTTTGAGTATTGTTTTGTTGTGAAGAAGAACTTATCGATACAGTTCCTAGCGGAAGTAAAATGAACAACTTATATGACTTTGTTTTTTTTAATAAAACCAGTTTGTGTATGATAATAGCAAGATTCAGAAAATGTTTTTTGATACTCTTTACTCTGTCAATCTATAGATATGTTTTCTATTCGAAATATTAGATGAAATAAACGCTCTTGACACGAACGCATTTATTAAAACACATACAATTATATTCCTGTTTTTGAAAGGTATATTTAAGTACACTCTTTTTAACTTGGAAGAAAATTAACTTGTAAGATAGTCAACCATATTGATAATAACAGTTTCCTCATTTTCAAACTCATCTTTAAATATATTCTTCATCATATCTTTCGTGAACTTGATCATGTCAGACTGGTTGTAAAATTATAACTTTTCTACTGTCACAACTATTGCAAATGGATTGGAGTAAACAGAATAGCTCGAGTTCATTTAAACCGACCAGATTTTTATACTTATCAGACTAGCTCAAGAGAGAATAGCGTTGGATCGTGCCAAGCCATCAGAGTAAGCATCTCATTTCAGATTACTCTGAGTGTGTTTCGTCAGTTAACCATGAGATGTAAAAAAATTAACTGTATGAAGAAAATTTCTATTGCCAGTCATAGTCTTTACATTTATTAGAACGCTTTTATTGGCGCTATCGTTATCATGTTAAGTTTCAAGTTTATGTAATATTATCTAGTCAATGATGTCATCTGTTGATGTTGAATGTTGCGAAATATTTCAGTTATTCGATATGAAAACTAAAAGAAAATATCTGTAGACTTAAACTCGTACCAGAAATAAGCTTATATCAATACTTCCTAATCCATGACGTTCTTATCTATGATATGATCATTGATTGTTTATTGTGTCAACTATCATATATAAATCAGCTATCAATTTGATAGTTGAATAAGCCTTGCTTTTCAACTGACTCATTTGCTGAGCTTTCGTTTCCTGTGGTAGTTAATTGCAGAAAATCTGTTAGATACATAAAGAATTAGTTTAATTTGTATTTTATTGAAAGAAAAATCTCGCAGTCCATGGTTTCCAAGATCTTGGAAACAACACCTAAGTTGTTGAAGAACTATCAGTAGCACTCTGGCAACCTTTCAGAGGATCGAAAGTTGACCCCGAATGTTTTCGTAGTTTCATGATTCTCAATAGTTGAAATGATATGTTCTTGACCATACATTTCGCACATATGCATTCATCTTTACAGAATGCTTTGCTAATCTTGATACAGATACGAAAAATGTCGTGGATACAATGTTGTGTTGTTTTAGGAGGTTTTGAACTGTTAGGAAGTTAAGAAGAACTATCTTTTCTCAATACATAGAGTGTCTCGTGGTTATCGTTGATAAAGGATACACATAATCGAAAAATGCATTGGCATATATAAGTAATACAACGACAGCCTCAAAAAACAAAACTTCTTGGTCTGTCATGCACCTAAAAAGTCTGTTAGTGAGAATGAAAAATCTGCTCTGACCGTATTACATATATTAATTTTTTCGAACAGAAAGAAAGTCCATAAACTCACATTTAATGATGCAAGCAGTGTAATATCCATAAATTGTTAAGATAAAAGAGCAATTGAGAGTGAGAATGAGTGTAAGTGTTGGAGTAGAAAGAATAATTTTGAGCAGCCATGCTCGCTTTCGACTTTGCTTACAGGTCCCATCAAATGATTTGAATTTACTCTGTATTTGTCTTATTTATAGTTGAATAGTTAATGTATAAAAAATTTCGAGCGCATCTACAGACTGACAAGTTAGAAGAGTTAGCAATGAATTTTATTATTTCTTTTGGATATTTGCTCTGAAACTTTTTCTAGTTTTGTAATTTGTAGAGTTCAATGAAGAATTAAATCTTCTATCGAATAATGGTATTATTAACAGGTGATGTTGCTTCAGATGACTATGAAACTGTAAATACGATGTATATTCTAGTGTCGATTTTATCAGTAAAAACATTTCTCGATGGATCAATTTTAATTACTGTTCACATGATGTGTGTTTAGAGTTTGATATTAGATAGAAAATGGTATATTTCATTTCAGAAAGTGTTGGTTCTGAAAGGATATATTGCATTTGCAAATGAATTATGATACTTATGTCCTTCAGGGTGTTTTTTCACAATTTTTGCAATGTACTTGAACAATAAGATATATTACGTTAGAACGACTTGATAAATAATTTATTTGTATAGCTATTTTAAAAGTTGGTTGAAATATACTTGAGATAAGATCGTATTAAGGATCAAACAACACATACTAATATTGAATGGTATCATAAATAATTTATTGATAAAAAAAATGAGAAAATATAATTAGTTAAGAGTAGATTTTAGATATTTGTGTGTATAGATAAAGTAGACACTTGTGCTAGTATCTACATCCAGTAAATTCAAGCAATAAAGTTGAAAACATACTATGGACTCTGTCGCTAATGAATCAAATACTGATCGGTTTCTAAAGGATGCGTTACAGATAAGTGCATAATCCAGTGTTTTCTACTATTTCACTTTATATGAGATCGAATCCATTTACAAAATAATCATACTTATCGAGCAACTGAACTATCAAGAAATTAGTTGGAAAAAAAAACATTGTCCAGTTACAGTGACATTCTTTCTCAATTTATAAAGATTAGATGTCAATCAATGGTTGTCCATATTTCATGTGTTGTAGATGTTGATATTGCAGTAATATCATCAAAATTAAGTCACTGTTCAATAGATTCATCTGCTCATGGTCTCTCCATCTCATTATCGACAATTGAAAACTGTTCAGTTCGGACAAGTGAAATGCTTTCCCGAAGGTCACAAAACAAAACACAAAGACTCACGACATTTCATCACATTCATTATCTAGATGAATATTTTATTTGGCAATGCGTCTTCTTTCATACATTGATCTTACAACCAAGAGCAGATCTGAAAATTTCACATTGCTAATAAAATTCTATTTTTTACGACTTGTTAACAGATAAAGTCGAACATTTTGATTCAGTCAAACTAGTAACATTCTATCTGATCCTTTCGTATATATGAAGAAATTATGAAAGCATGATTGATGATGGGTAATAACGAATAATGGACGTCATTAGCAAATAGCTGACTTCTTTTTAGTCAAAAAGATTATAGATTCTGAATCAGACACATTAACTAGATTGATTCTCAACGGTGAAATACACAGAAAGTATTTATCACCGTAAGCTTACGTTAATAGAATAAATATTGAACAGAAGATTTTATAGAGACGTATAGTATTATAATCAAAAGAAACTGGTACAACCCATCAAGATCTATAACTAAACAGCGATCTCTATTGCAGTAAACGGAAAACAGAATCTATTCCGTGGAATCTGAAGCAACAAGTGATCCGAATTTTCATCAACAAAATGCTTATTATCATTCACTTGATGTAGCTAAGGATTGACTGCCGAAAATCAATTCAAATTCGTGCTAAATATGTACATGGCATTTGCAAGTTCCATTGTCACTGAAAAGATGGACTGAAACAGAGGCTTTCTCTGAGAATGGTTACCAATAACAACACATAGGACATTTTCGATACTCAGTTAGTAGTTTCTGTTCATAGCTCATGGTAAGACCATGCATACGAATATTTATATCGATGTTGGTGGATAGCTCAACCTGGAAAACTGAACGGAACATGTGCCAGGCAAGAAATGAAGACAAAAATCATCCTTTCTAAAAAAAACGAAATTATTAAAAACTTTTTTGAGATTCATCCTCAATCGTTATTTTCCTCGAATTCTAAGCTGACTTTTGATCTGATCTCAGGACTATATATTTTTTTTCTCGTTCCTATGATTAAAAAACAATACATGGTGAAAACTGCTTCAGCTAAGTTTATTGAATAATACAAAAAAAAACAGCGAGATTAATAAGAAATATGTGATTCTAAGAAAAGCATGAAAAGAGTCATTCAATTGAACATAATTGATGCTTAACTAAATGTATGTTGGATAACAGCGCCATATTCTTTGCCTTTCATCTTCATATAAGCGATCTTTTCCATGTAGACTCTATCAGGGTTCATTTTAGCTAAATTTTCCAATACTATTCGTTGACATGTAGGTAATTTGTTATGCTTGTCCGAATCACATACAATTGACATAACATCATCTGCTGAACAAACTTCGCTGATGGATTGTCCCAATGTTCTGCCAAAGAATAATTTGGATTTATCGATGCTTAAAAATTTCATGACATCTGGTTCTTGAGATACTCGCATCATTGATGCGACCGGTGGACAAGCTGCAAGGTTGGCACGATAATTAGGTGAATCTTTCTTACCAAAACATTTTTCCACTAATCCATCTCTGTCGGCAGATAAAACCATTGATAACATGTGCGATCGAATTGTCGGGCAGCATTCAGCTACGATTTGACAACTGGCTTTGACTAAACCACGTACTGCAGGTGGAAAAATTCCACGTATTTCACGAGAGAATTTTGCAAGTTCAGCAGCATCTGCATCGATCATTGCTGGTCGGACCATCATAGCATCTAGTCTTCCAATGCCAATAACGAAGAGAATCAAAGTGAATATGCGCAACATGATCGTTGTATGATTGTGTAGTAATAGTTTGAAATAGTGTATGTGAATGAATGCAAATTGAGTACCGTTATTTATATTCACTTGTTAACAATGAAACGGTTGACCGATCGATATGATATCTGCGGCGGACGTAAATGTGCGTATTATCGAAAAAAAAAGGAAGAAAGAACGCAGAGAAAAAAGAAAGATGACCGATATTGTCTATTGTTTACGATAAACGTGACGACTATTTCTCGTGGTCACATTTCTTTCTTTGTTGGCTACATCAGGATGATCGAGATACGATCGACATGACAACGTTCACCGATGAGATAAGAGGACGAAAAGTTGAGCGTTAGAGAGAGAGAGACAGAGCGTACAGTTCATAGTAACTTTCCTTTGTTTGTACGTGTACAGAGATATAATGCACGCATGATTTTATAGAGAAAGACGATTGGATACAAATAAAGAAACGAACATAAAGTTGATTTTTTTCATTCAAAAATTAAAAAAATTTTCTTTTTCATTTTGCTTTCTTCGAAATTTTTCTACAATAAGTGTAAAACTCAAAATAATATGGAATTGTATATGATACTGTTGTAAACATTTCTCAAGACAATTGACATCAAAACGAAAAATTTTAGAGATTGTAACTAAAAAATCAGCTTCATGTGTGCCACATAATCTTTTCTTTTGTCGAACGAAGTTATACTTGTTTTGCCGTGTCCATATTATTCATGTGAGTCATTGTTTCAAAAAGCAAATGTAGCAAGCAGAACGGTGTAGGTTGGCGTACGAATATCTTTCGAATCAAGCAAGATTTCGTTTATTGAATAAAGTCAGAAGTTCATTGTTTTGTCCATTTCAAATCAAGCATATCTGGTCGACTCATCTTTTAACGAGTTCTTTCTTTTTGAGTATTATTGAACATGAATTTAAAAAATACGTTGAACGAGTCAAACAATTATAGTTGTCGATGTTCTTTTGATTTGTCTATTTCGTATACATATATATGCGGAAGTTTTCATATACTTCAATCGCTTCAGGTTGTTCACAAAATTTTAAACTAGAATAAACTACTTTTTCAATCAACGATTGAAGAAAACAACTAATAAATCATGCAATCGTTTTGAATAGTTACTTTTGTCTAATATGTTATCATTATCTGAATTGAGAGTTTATTCTATATCTAAATATGATTTTTATTAAAAACAAAAGAAAGACAGATATCGAATAAATATTTTAGATCGCGTATTTTCAGATATGAATTACAAAGCATACTCAATGTTAAACTCCTTACGAATGAATACATGTGATACTAAAACTATTTCATTACTCTTATTGGTTCAATCGAAAAATTAAATTCAAGAACTCAATATCTGAATATCTCAAATTTAGACATTTATGGTAAAATATTCAGATCAATTCTTTTACTGATGGTACCATGAAAGATTACACATGAGGACACACGAGAATATTTGAAACGGTTCACAATAAATGAATTCAATGTTCAGGTGTGACCCTATTAACTTCTATAAAATCAATATAAAGAATTCATCGTAAAAGTTTACAGAATCAATTAGTTAGTGATTGGTTTCTTTTCTATCTAGTCTGAAAATGTTTGTTTATATTTAATATCCATTGAAAGTGTAATCGATGAAGAGCAAGCTGTGGCTTAACACTACAAATTTATACTTTTTCTGAATGTCTGATTAGAAATTTTAGCTTAATTTTTGTTTGAGGGTCATATAGTGATCAGTGACAGACGAAAAGAAATAATTTCAATGAAACATATAGTACGGTGTTTCGCATGCAAACGTTTACTCATTTTAGCCGACTTGAAAGTATCTCAGACAAGCCGAAAACTGGATGATAATCAAAATTTTGTGTTCTCTTCAAATATAAGATTAGAATTTTAATGTGTGTTTTTAAAAAACGTTGCAAAACAGATTGAATGGTGAAAAGTTTTGTCTAATCTCCTAAGTTATTTTCCCAAGTTGCAAAAAGTTTTCGGTGCCAATGAATTCGTCGAGCAGTTACTTCTTTCTTACATTGAACTAAGCTGTAGCTTCTACTTAAATGAAGCCATAGGCACTTTATCAGAATCTCCTTTCTATGCAACATATTTTCTGGTCCAAAAAGTCAATTTTTTAAAGATAAGAGTTTACGAAAAACGAAAGACAAAATGTCCTCTCCACGAACAAAAAGATTCAATTAGTAGATTTTCTAGCATGACTTTTACTCTACGAGCTAAGAAATTAAGAAAGGTCCGAACTTTTAATTTGCGATTCGTCTTAGTGGAATTACAAAAGTCTGCAAAAAAAATTTCAAGTCGAAACTACTTTTTGACCTTTCAAAGATTACCTCATTCGCTTCGAACAAAAATTGTATCAATTTTCCAGAGCTCATATTAGAAAAGAATCTAAAATTTTGGTTCTAATCTATACGTTTTGAATCATGGAAAATATTTGTATGCAAGCCAAAAAACACATAGTGTGCTGCAAAACTTTGCAGCCGATGTGTTCTTATAACTTGTCACCACGTTTAATTGATAAATCATTAAAAAAAAATAGAGAAATGGAAAGTCGCTACGAACACTTCTTACTTCTACAGCAAACATATCTAGCGTCCTCTTCATCATATTTTATATGATTGGTGCAAGCTGACTAAGCAATGAATTGATTGACAAGTTGAACATTTGATCAATTGATCGATCGTATTTTAGTAAATTAAAATCTAAAGAAAATCTTTCTAATCATTATGACAAATATTAATCTTATTGAAGCTGTTCGTTCTTATATCAATCGAATGATTGAAGATTGTGGTCCAACTATAAAAGGACTTGTTATGGATAAAGAAACGGTTTCTAAAAGAAAAATCATTGTTATTATTATTATTAATAATGATAAATATGTTTTTTTTTTCTAATAGGCTTCTATTGTTAGTATGGTTTATGCTCAATCTGAAATTCTTCAAAAAGAAGTTTTTCTTTTTGAACGTATTGATATAGTTGGACAAAAATCATTAAAACATTTAAGTGCCATTTGTTTTTTACGACCAACAGAAGAAAATATTCAAGCTTTAGTACGTGAATTACATGAACCAAAATATGGAAATTATTTTATTTGTAAATATAATTTTTTTTAATATATAAAATAAATCGAAATAAAGTATTTTATTTAGATTTTACTAATTTTGTTGAAATGAATGATATAAAAAGTTTAGCTGAAGCTGATGAATTTGAATGTGTACGAGTTGTACAAGAATATTATGCAGATTATTTAGCTATTAATTCACATTTATATTCTCTTAATATTCCAAATAGTTATCAGGTAATAATTAATTATTTATGAAAAACTAAAAAAAAGAAAAACCAAAATTGTTTTATTTTGTTTTCAATGTTTATTAGCAAAATTATGAATGGAATGATAATTTACTTCGTCGAACAGTTCAAGGTCTTGTTTCAGTATTACTTTCATTACGTAAGAAAAGTGCAACAATTCGTTATCAAAGATCATCAAATATGGCAAGAATACTTGCTGATAAACTTTCAGTAAGATATTTAAAAATCGATGATTTCTATATGGTTTAGTTTTTCTTTATTTTTTTTTTTAAAATAATTTAGAGTACTCTCAAACGTCAAGTTGATTTTACAGCATCCAATCCAAATGATATTAATCAAACAATTGTTTTAATTGTTGATCGACGAGAAGATGCCATTACTCCATTACTTAATCAAGTTTGATTAATATTCATATTATTGAAGAAAAAAATATAAATAGTCTTTTTTCTTTTGTAGTGGACATATCAAGCAATGGTTCATGAATTGATTGGTATTAAAAATAATCGTGTTAGTCTTAGTCAAGTACCAAGTATTACAAAAGAACTTGAAGAAGTTATTATGAATGCTGAATATGATGAATTTTACGCAAATGTAAGAAAAAAAAAATATTAAATTAATCGAATCATTTATTCTTCGTTTCATATTTTATTTGTATAGAATCTTTATAGTAATTTTGGTGAAATAGCAACAAATATTAAAGGATTAATGGAACATTTTCAAGAAAAACATAAAAGTCAATCAAAAATTGAATCTATTGGAGATATGAAGGTTTGAATCTTAAATAATAGATATTCTCATTATAATGAAAGATTACAGGATATTTTTTATTTGTCATAAAATCCTTTTCGGATTGTGTTGATTTCTTATTTTAATATTCATATTAACTATTCTTCGTATAAATCAAATAGCAATTGATTATACAAAGAGAACCTTATGTTCTCATCTAATACAGAGATTCATCTCTGTTAGCATTGTATTTTATCATATACAATACTGGTCAACAGTGAAAGATCAACTTAATGTTTTCTATAATGCTAAGCATTTAACTCAAAATCTATGTAAGAGTTTGAATAGCAGATGAAGTTCTCTATCAAATGTACTCCATATCAAAACTTCTTAGATAGGCTATGCGAGGAAGGTTTTTCAAAAACTAAAAACAGTAGTTCTTTGGTTCCAAAAGACTATGTGAAAATTAGGTTTTAATACTATCATCTAAAAGAGTGCTAAATTCTGAATAAATTGAGATGTCGCTGTTTTTCCTACGACTTTCGCTTAAAAAGTAATAGACATAACGAAAAATGCGTTGTTTAGCAATTCTATGATAAATTTCGTTTTGTAATGCTTATGACTTTTTAAGAGAAGATCATAATAAATGCGGTAATCTCTGATTTTATACAGGATTTTATACACTTTAACATGATACTTCTAAAAATTGGTCTTTACACAGTTTTTTCGGATCTAAAAGCAATATTGTTTGATTTTTCAGAAACTGCTTTCTTATAATTCATCTATGGAATTTTGGTATGAAATACTTTTGACAGCGAACTTCATTGGTCATTCAAACCACCATTTGGAGTTAAGCTAGATGCTTGTTATTGTAGAAAAAAAAAAGCGTAGGTCT